ATTTTGAGGGGTATATTAAAATGTCTTCTGATTTGTATATCATAGTAACGCTAGTCTCCTAGAGTGAGTTGGAAAGCATTCCTCCTCTTCAGTTTCCTTAAACAGTTCATGTAGAATTATTGATTAAAATAAACTGAAAAAGAGTTAATGTAGAATTGATATTATTTGTTTTTTAAATGGTTGATCCAATTCATCAGTAAACCCATTGACCCTTAAGGTTTTCTTCATGAGAAGGTTTTAACTATATATCAGTGTCTTCTGATAGACATAGCATTATTCACATTATCCTTTTCTTTGCTGGTAAGCTTTCATAGTTTGTGTCTTCAAAAATTTGTCCATTTTATCTGTTTTCAAAGGTCTTGTCATCAAGTCGTTCATCATTTCTCTGACTGTCCTTTTAACAGCTATAGGATCTGTAGTGCTATCACCCCTCTTGTTCTTGATGTTAGTAATTTGTCTCTTCTCTTTCATTCCAGGTCAGTCTGGCTAGAAACAGCTTTTGGTTTTATTATTTCTGCTGCCTTTTTGTTTTCTTTCACCAATTGTTGCTTTAATCTTTATTTTCTTTCTGTTGCTTACTTTAATTTGTCCTTCTTATTTTAGTTCCTTAAGTTCGGAGCTAAAGTCTCTGATTTGAGACCTTTATTCTTTTCTAATGTGGACATTCAGTGCTAGTTTCTGCTTTAGTGGCATCTCACAAATTCTGAAATGTGATATTTTGTTTTTATCTTCATTCAGTTCAGGTTACTAATCTCCCTTTTGATTTCTTCTTTGACCTATGGGTTCTTTAGAAGTGTATTTGTTTCCACATATTTTTAAAATCTCTAGATGCCATTCTGTTATTAATTTCTTATTTAATTTCATTGTAATCGGAGAACATTCTCAGAACAGTCTGACTCCTTTTACTTTTTTTTCTTTTTCTTTTTTTTTTTTTTTTGAGAAGAGTCTTGTTCTGTCACCCAGGCTGAAGTGTAGTGGCATGATCTTGGCTCACTGCAACCTCTGCCTTCTGGGTTCAAGCGATTCTCCTGCCTCCTGCATCAGCCTCCCAAGTAGATGGGATTACAGGTGCATGCCACCACGCCTGGCTAATTTTTGTATTTTTAGTAGAAATGGGGTTTCACCAGGCCAGGCTGGTCTCAAACTTCTGACCAGGTGATTCACCTACCTCAGCCTCTTAAACTGCTGGGATTACAGGTGCGAGCCACTGAGTCTGGCCAAATTTCTTGAAATTTGTTTTAAGGTTCATTCAGAATGCTGTATGTCTTGATAAATGTTGTATGTGTACTTGAAATCTATGTGTATGCTATAGCCTGCTGGAATGTGCTATTGATGTCAAGTAGGTGACATTTTTAATAATGTTTTCAAAGCTTCTATGTCCTTGCCAATTTTCTGTCTTCCTGTTCTATCAATTATTGATAGAAGAATATCGACATCTCTGTCTGTAATTATAGATTTCTCTATTCCTTCTTGCACTCCAGTCAGTTTTTGTTTCATATATATACGGACCCTTTTTATCATTATGAAATGACCTGTATTGCTAGTAATATTCTTCTTTGCTCTGAAATCTATTTTGTCTGATACAGAGTTGCACTGTCAATGAGCAACCTTGGAGATATCACGGATTTGGTGCCAGACCACTGTGAATAAGCCAATATCATGGTAAAGTGAGTCCCATGAATTTTGTTTCCCAGTGCATATAAAAGTTATGTTTATCCTATACTGTAATCCATCAAGTGTACAATAGCATTATGTCTTTTAAAAATGTACGTGTCCTGATTTAAAAATACTTTATTGCTAAAAAATGCTCGTGATCACCTGAGCCTTTAGTCAGTCATAATCTCTTTACTGGTGGAGGGTCTTGCTTTCATGGTGATGGCTGCCAGTTGATCAGAGTGGTGGTTGCTGAAGGTGGGGTGGCTGCGACAGTTTCTTAAAAATAGCAACAGGCTAGGCATGGTGGCTCACACCTATAATCCCAGCACTTTGGGAGGCCAAGGCAAGTGGATCACTTGAGGCCAGGAGTTGGAGATGAGCCTGACCAACATGGTGAAACCCTGTCTCTACTAAAAATACAAAAGTTAGCCAGGCATGGTGGCATGTATCTATAATCCCAGCTACTTGGGAGGCTGAGGTACAAGAATCGCTTGAACTTGGGAGGTGGAGGTTGCAGTGAACCGAGATCGTGCCACTGTACTCCAGCCTGGGCAATAGACCAAGACTCCATCTCCAAAAAAAAACAGCAATGAAGTTGGCCACATTGATTGATTCTTCTTTTCATGAAAGATTTCTTCGTACCATGCAATACTAATACCATTTTACCTACAGTATAGAACTTCTTTCAGTCTTGGAGCCAATTCTCTCAAACCCTCAAACTGCTTTATCAACTAAGTTTATGTGCTTTGCTATCATTTTTCAATAATGTTCACAGCATTTTTACTAGGAGCAGATTCCATCTCAAGAAACCACTTTGTTCATTCATAAGTAGCAGCTCCTCATCCATTCAAGTTTGATCATGAGATTGCAGCAAGGATAGTCACATCTTCAGGCTCTGTTTCTAATTCTAGTTGTCTTGCTATTTTCACCACATCTGTACATCTTTATCCACTGACATTTTCTTGAGCTCCACCAGGTCGTCTGTGAGGGTTGGAACCAACTTCTGCAAACTCCTGTTCATGTTGATACTTTGACCTCCTCCCAGAAATCACTAATATTCTTAATGGGATTTAGAATGACAACTCCTTTTCAGAAGGTTTGCAACTGACTTTGCCTAAAGTCATTAGAGTAATCACTACCTATGACAACTATAGCCTTACAAATGTATTTCTTAAAGAGTAACATTTGAAAGTCAACTGCTCCTTGATCCAGGGGCTGCAGAATAGATGCTGTGTTAGCAGTCTATGAGAGAAACAAAGTTAATCTCAAACATCTCCATCAGAGCCCAGAAACTAGTTACAATGTCAATGAGCAATAATATTTTGAAAGGAATTTTGTTTTCTGAGCAGGAGGTCTCAACAGTGGGCTTAAAATATTCAGGGAACCATGCTGCATTTGAACAGATGTGCTGTTATCCAGGCTTTGTTGTTCCACTGATAGAGCACAGAGAGAAGACTTAGCATGATTCTTAAGGGCCCTAAGAGCTCATCTAGCATTCTGAAAATCTCCATCTTAGCAGTAAGGTGTTCTTTCTTATCATTCATGTGTTCATTTGAATAGTCCTTGTAATTTCCTTTATGAACTTCTCCTTTGCAGGCTAGCTGTTTGGTACAAGAGACCTAGCTTTTGGCTTCTCTCAGTTTTCAACATGCCTTCCTCACTAAACTTAATTATTTCTAGCTTTTAATTTAAAATTAGAGACAAGCGACTCTTCTTTCACTTGAACACCCAGAGGCCATTGTAGGGTTATAAATGGGCCTAGTTTCAATATTATTGTGATTGTTGTGTCTCAGGGAATGAGGAGGCCCAAGGACAAGGAGAGAGATGGGAAATGGCTAGTCAGTGGAGTAGTCAGAACACACACACACATTTATCAGTTAAGTTTGCTACCTTATGGTCACTGTTTATGGAGCTCCAAAACAATGACAGTGGTGACATTAAAGATCACAGACTACCATAACAAGATACATTAATAATGAAAAAGTTGGAAATATTATGAGAATTACTAAATGTGACAGAGACATGAAGTGAATTCATGCTTTTGGAAAAACAGTGCTGATAGACTTGCCAGACACGGACCTTAAACTTGTAAAAATGCAGTATCTGTGAAGCACAGTAAGGCAGTGTGTGATGGCGTGAGGTATGCTCACGTGAACACAGTGCAGCCTTGGCTTCTGTTAGTGGGCTGTATCCACTTCATGTTACTTTTAATCTACTGTGTCTTCATATTTAAAATGTGTTTTTTATAAGCAGGATATAGTTGAGTCTTAAATTTGCGTAAAATCTGACAATCTCTGCCCTTTTACTGGGGTGTTTAGGCCATTTACATTTAAATTGATTACTGCTTTGATTAGATAAGTCTATCGTCTTGCTACTTGTTTTCTGTTTGTCCTGTCTGTTCCCTCTTTTTTCTGCCTTTCTTGGATTGATTGAATTTTTTACAAATCTATGTGTCTTCTTTTTTGATTTGTTAACTATATTTTCTATCTTGTTATTTTACAGGTTGTGTTAAGATTTAGCATATAGATCTTTAACTCATCACAGTTATCCTCAAATGACTGTGTGTAGTATGAAAATCTGACAGTCATGTACTTCCAGTTTCCAGTTTTGTATGTTTTTATATATACACATGATAAACCCCACAATATTTTGTTTTTATTTCTGTTTAGTCACTTATCTTTTAAAGAGATGTAAAGACTAATTTTAAATTTTTTATATGTCTGCACATGTAGCTCCCATCTCCTCATTCATGGAAGGAATAGGGGCATTCTTCCTTCTTGTTGTGTAGGCCCATGATTGTTTTGATTTTTATTTATTTATTTATTTGTTTATTTTTGAGGCAGAGTCTCGTTCTGTCACTCAGGCTGGAGTGCAGTGGCACAATCTCTGCTCACTACAACCTCCACCTCCCAGGTTCAAGCGATTCTCCTGCCTCAGCCCCCCAAGGAGCTGGAATTACAGGGATGTGCCACCATGCTCAGCTAATTTTTGTATTTTTAGTAAAAACAAGGTTTCACCATGTTGGCCAGGCTGGTCTCAAACTCCTGATCTCAGGTGATTCGTCCACCTCTGCCTCCTGAAGTGCTGGGATTACAGGCGGGAGCCACCATGCCTGGCCTGTTGTGTAAGTCCATGTTTACATCCTCATTTTCCTTCCATCTGAAGGGCTTCTTTTAACATTCTTACAGTGTGAGTCAGCTGCTTTGGGATATTTTAAGCTCCTGCACACCTGAAGAAGTCTTTATTTGTGGGGAGATATTTCCACTGGGTGGACAATTGTGGGCTGACTGCTTTTTGTCTTTCTCTACTTCATAGAGGTGATCTCACTGTCTTCTTAATTCCAGTATTTCCTCCAGGAAGTCTGCTGTCATCCCAATCTTTGTTCCTCTCTAGGTAAATTGTCTTTTCTTCCTCTGACTGCTTTTAAGATTTCATCTGTAGTATTGGTTTTGAGCAGTTTGATTATGATGTACTTTGATGTCGTTTTTCCCCTTTTATTGGTGGTGTGGGTTCTTTGAACTTCTCAGATGTCTCAGTTTACACTTTTCCACACATTTCAGAAAATTGAGGCCATTATTTTTTCAAGACTCTTTCCTGTCCCCGCCATGTCAGTGATCTGTCCTTGAATAACATTGCTGCAAAACTCAATGGCTTGTGGCTTCCAAGGTCAGCAATCCAAGTGTGGCTGAGCTGGCTCTCTGCTTAGGGACCTCACCAGCCTCAGTCCTTTTGGCTCTGCTGGGGAAGGACCTACGTCCAGGCACACCGACATAGCTGTGAGAAGGATTCTGTTCCTCATCGGTGGTTGGGCCGCCGGGCTTGGTTCCTGTGGCAGCTCCTCGCCACATGGGCAACTGACGCATGGCAGCTGGCACATCAGAACTCTGAGAACCAGGGTGGGAGCCACAGAAGTCATGGCTGTTGTGACGCAATCACAGAGGGAACAGCCAGCATTTGCACCACACTGTCTGTCAGCTGGAAGTCATGCTGAGGGCTGGCGCTGATGTGGGTGACGCCGTCAGGAGCCATTTCAGAAGTGCCTCCAGGACTCCCACCCCATGTGTCAGGCCACGTGATGATGTCCCACGGCCCACGCCCAGTGTGCTGCTTTCTGTCTATTTATCTTTTTGTTTTTATGCACTTTTCTTTTTCTCCTCTGTTTCGTCTTGGACGGTTTCTGTGGCTGCATCGGCATGTTCACTGAGCTTGTTTCCACAATGTCCGGTCTGCTGTGGATCCGCACCCTGCACTTCTCATCTCCCACCCTGTTGTCTTCATCCTTAGAAAGTCAATTGGGCTCTTTCTTGTCCCTTTTATATCTCTCCTCAACTTTTTGTGCATATGGAGCAAAGTTACAGTGACTTAGTGTGATCTGCCGCTTCTGACATCAGCTCATCTCTAGGTTGGTTTCACTCGGCTGATTTTCTTGCTGCATGGGTGCTGCATGGGTGCGTGCGTGCATGCCTGTGGGTGCATGTGCGCTCCTATACACTCCCTGGGCTCGCCCTGTCTCTCAGGGCCTGCCACTCTACATGACTGAAAACTGTTGTTTCACATTTTATGCCTCATATTCTGGCTATTTCAGATGGCTGTTTCTGTCCTTGTGGCTCTATCTCGACGGGAAGCTGCCAGCAGCCCTCTGAGGTGGGAAAATAGGCATTTTGTCTCCATTTTATATTCAGGAAACTTCAGCTCAGAGAAACAAACTGATGGGCCTAGGGGCCCACAACAGATCAGAGGGGCAGCCTCACCAATAAGCCACAACAGTTAAGAGGGGCAGGTAAGAGGGGCAGGCCCACCCCCTCCCCACCCTGCATCCCCAGCATCTCATTGCCCTGAAATGTCAGCCCCAGCAGCATGGGCCTCATCTGGGCAGGAGGTGAGAAGGTACAGAGGCCACTGCCCTGCCCTCTCCTCCCCTCCTCATTGGGCTCCAATAAGGAAGGAGTGGTGCTGTCCAGACCAGGAGGGAAGGACTCCTCGCCCTGCCTGCCTACAGTGACTGTCTTCTTCCCTTAATGTTTGCTTTGCTCTGCACTCTTGCTGACCTCAGGGCCTCCCTGTCTTTCAACCCATACTCAGCACCCTCTCCCTCCTCCTCCATCCCTGCCACCTCCTCTAACTCATCCCTGTGGCCTCCACGCCCTTCCACAGCCCTTGGAGCCCCCCTCCCACTGTGGTGGATGCCACTCAGCAGGGGCTACACAGGCCGACCCACCCTGAGCCCGTGCCCCCACTCTCTCCGCTCCCCTCCGGCTGTGGCTGCAGGAGCAGCTGCGTGTGGCTCTAAAGTAGAGCGCCTGTGTGCGAAGGGAGCTGTATAAATAGAATAATAATAATAATTGTTGGTTTGGGATTTTTCTACGACTGCTAGGGTGCCTGGCCTTGCCCCCCCTACCAGTCACTCTTGAGGGAAAGGTCACCCTCTCTGGGAAGATAAACCCCAATAACGCTGGTATAATTAGCACAGGCAGTATTTAGATGCTTTCCTTGGTACAATTAGGCAGGGATAATTGGCTGAGCTATTTTTCCCATGCCGGACACACTTTTTGCCAGCTTCCGTTCTTTGGAACTTCATGCCGGGACATTTGTTCTCGGCATTCTGTCCAAGCTGTCCTGACCCAGTTGCCGCCAGACCCTCAGCACGGTGCTCATGCGGCAGCATCTGCGAGGCTTCCTTTGGGCCTGGCTGCGTCACCTCCCCCGAGGAACTCTGGAAAGAGATGGGAGCTGAGGGCCATGAACACAGTTGAGTGTCCTGGGGTCGAACCTGGACCTCTGGACCAAGAGCTCCAAGGAGCTAAGCTGGGCTGGGCAGGGGACTGGGGCCCTGCACAGGGTGGGGATAGGCCAGCCAGCCATGGGCATCCAGAGGCCCTGGAGCCCAAGGTAAGGGAAGGAGTCAAGCGTGGACCAGGGATGAGTCCTGTGGCCAGCCTGGAGGAGGAATCCCTCGGCCAGGGTAACAGACCAGAGGTGGGAAGCTTGTTCTCTCCCCCTCAGAGCGCAGGCAAGCCAGGCAGTGACTGTCAGGACTCCAGGGTGGCTGCTGCTCCCAGGCTGCCCTCAGGCTATGGGTGTGCAGCAGGTACGCTGGCCCAACAGCACCTGAGACTCCTGCACAGAGCCTGGCTGGGAACTGTGACGTTCTCAGGAGTCCTCAGCATCCGGGGCTGGTGGCACCAGCCGCTTTCACACCATACCTGACAGTTCAAACACAAACTTGCCATTATCACACCCGACCTCTGGGATAAAGATCTCAGCTTCTGAAGCCAAGCAGCAGCCAAGCTAGGACCGTGCTGGCCTGCAGCCGCCAGCAGCACCTGCTGGGATGAAGGCACACATTACCCAGGTTTATCACCTCTAGACACTGTGGGCCAAGGCCTTCAGCCCCTGAGACTTCTTAGGGGAGGTAAGGCAGTCCTGGGACAGGACAGCCCAAGGGCCTGGCTGTGGAGGCTCAGGCAGAGCTGTGGCACGATGAGACAGCCCAGCACTGTTCACAGGTGCTCTCATGGGCACTGCAAAGACCCGCGGACAGAGAAAGCTGTGCCCCACCTGGAATTCGTCCAAACCCAACCCGCTGTGCCCTGGCTGCTGGATGCCGAGGGCTGTGGGCCCGTGTGTCTGACATCCCATCGGCCCTGTGACGGGTGGCCTCCAGTGGGCTCCGCTGTGCCTACCCTGCCAGCGCCACCCACCCCTGCCAGCTGGGTGGGTTTGTGCTGTGACCCATGCCCAGCATCTGTAGCACCACCAGCCAAGATGCCAGCCATGACGCCAGCATGGCACCCCAGGCACAGGACATCTGGGGCAGGTGGGCAGGCAGCACCAGCCTCAGCAGCCCACAGAGGGGCCCTCCCACAGAGTGGGAGATGCTGCAGGCGGACAGGCAGACCGGTCCGGGCAAGATGCCTGAGGGTTGCAGGCCAGGCAGTAAGGATTGGTGCTTGTCTGTAGTGGGGAACCTGTGTACTCACTGGCCTGTCTCAAAGCTGTTCAACTCTTGGAGCTATAATTTAGATATACTTTTTTTTCCAAATTACAAATATGCAGCATGTAAAAAAAATCTGGAAAATGCAGAGAACCATGAGTCACTTTCCATCCCAACTCTTCGAGCTAACCGCTATTAACATTTTGATGGTCTTCTGAGGGTCCTTTTGCACTGTGTGAGTGTGGGTGTGTGAGAGTATGTGTGGCGCCACGTGAACTTGCAGGGTTTTCTCACCACAGAAGTTCAAGGCTGACTCTCAGCAGACGCAGCTGAGCCTTCTCCCCAGCTTGTCCTGCGTGTTCATGAAAGTGCCTGGGATGCGTCAGATTCCCAACTTGAGAAGCCCAGATAAGTCTTTTGAAGTTGAAAACACTTTGATTTCCTTATAGCCTCAAGACAAAAAATCTCCCCTTTGCTGGCTTTGAGCACAGGTGCCTTCTACAACCGAGGTTCATAGGGGCCTGTGGCTGCCCTGGCAGAGGCCAGCCTGGCACATCTATCTCCTCTCCTGCGGGCCCTGGTCAGGAGGAAGAGGCTCTGGGGGAAGCCAGGGGGCTCTGGGGCCTGGCAGACAACCAGTCCTCCTGCAGCAAGGTGGGGACAAGGGTGGAAGCAGCTCATTCCCCAGTGGTGCCAGGGCACGGGGCAGCTGCCATCCTCGTGGCCTGGGCTAACGTGGGCACAGGGTTTCCCTATCCCGCTGTGCTTGGCATCTCCCCTGAGCCCGCTGATTTTATGCACCTGACTTTGCCATGCCCAGTTTGCATACTGGGCTCAGAGAGGTGTGTCAGTGTGCCCAGGGTCTTACAGCTTCCCGGTGGCCGAGCCGAGGTTAGAAGCTAGGTCTGGCAGGCGTTGAAGTCCCCGATGCTGGCAACTCTGCCACCAGGCCTGCACAAGCAGGTAGAGGAAGAGGGAGGGCATTGAGGCTGGCAGTGCTCGCAGGATGGAGCCATTTATCTGGAAGATCTGTCGTGGGCAGGAGGTGGCAGCAGGCCGACTGCCCACAGCTTTCCTGCAGTGTCTAGGGCCAGGAGAGGGAGCAGCCCTGGCTCAGGACCCAGCTGCAAGACGCCCCATCTTCGTGCACCTTGCTTCCCTCTCCCTCCCCTGACAAATGGGCCCCCACCATAACTTCCTCTGAGGGCTCCTGTACTCTACCTGCACACAGCCCAGCTTGGGAGCAGGGCCTACAGCATGCCAAGGGAGGAAGGATTAGGCTTCGGGGAGCAGGCACTGGAGCTGTGTCCAGTTAGGCATGCGGCCCTTGCACATCAGAGCAGGGAATGTTCATGCCTCCCCCCAGGGCAGCCGCTGTGGCTTCTCATCTGAAACAAGGGGGTGCTTCTCCCAGGAAGGCCTATGGGAACAGCGAGCAGGGGTATGTCTGAGAACTTCTGGGTGCTCTGTCCTCCCAGTGGCCCCTGATACCAGCCCCAGCCTCTGTGCCCAGGCCATCTTCCAGCCCACTGAGGTCTGTCCTGGGAAAAGAGAGAAACAAGACAGATGTGGGCCTTGCCCTATGGGCCAGGACACGGGCCAGAATCTCACTTGGGGTAAAGATGCTGCAGTCTCCCCTCCAGGTTCTGTGCACTGGCTTCTCCATGTGCCGGGGTCCCTAGGGGCCGTGGCATTCTAGGAGAGATGGACAGGGAGATGCTGGTGCCCAGTGGGGTAGCTTGTCCTTTTATCTGCTCCACAGGCTCTTTTACTGTGCAATTTTCTAAAATTTCGGTGAGGCCCGTTGATCCATCTTAATTTTATTCTATGGATTGTGCTTTGGTGTTGAGTCTTGACAGCTCTGCCTCATCCAGATCCTGAAGATTTCTTTTTAAAAATAATTCTGTTTTATATGTAAGTTTATGATACAATTAGAGTTAAATTTTATGAGTTTGGGTCAAAAAATAATTTTTTTTAACTAAGCCTGTCCAGCTGCTCCAGCACCAGCTGTAGCAAAGACAGGCCTGTCCTTCCACTGAAGCACCTTTGTGACTTCTCTGTATCAATTGATAGGATCATATCATGTTTACTCTTTAGCCTGTTGATGCAGCTGATTACACTGATTGATTTTCAAATACGAAACTAGCCTCACAAACCTAAACTAAGTCCCTCTTGGTCATGGTATAATATTATTTGTTAGAAAGTGGCTTGGCATGTCTGTGTGGGTCTCTTTCGAGTTCCCCTGTTCTGTTCCCGTTCTCCACATCTCCCCGCCCCCACTGCCCCAGGTCGGTTCGACACAGGAGCTGCTTCACCCTGTGCTGCAGCTGCTGCTCAGTTCTCAACACCAGGACAGGCAGTTCCTCCACTCTCTTCTTTTTCAACATTGCTTTCCATATACATTTTAGAAGATCTTGTGTATGTCTACCAAAAAAAATCATGCTGGCCAGCCATGGTGGCTTACGCCTGTAATCCCAGCACTTTGGGAAACCAAGGCAGGAGGGTCGCTTGAGCTCAGGAGTTTCAGACCAGCCTGGGCCACAGAGAGAGACCCCATCTCTACAAAAAAATGTAGCCATGAGTGTGCACCTGTAGTTCTAACTACTTGAGACATGAGGCAGGAGGATTGCTTGAGCCTGGGAGATTGAGGCTGCAGTGAGCCAAGACCATGCCACTGCGCTCCAGCCTGGGTGACAGATAAAAGACCCTGTTTCAAAAAAAAAAAAAATATATATATATATATGTGTGTGTGTGTGTGTGTGTGTATATATATATATATGTATATATATATATATACATG